CTTTGGTTCTACTTCGTTGGCTGCAAGTCAGGCCTCTGTTACACACTTTGTTTTTCATATGTTATCTAACGTAATATAAAGTAAGTCTCATAGGTGTTCGTGGTTTTATAAAACTTTTCTTGTGAATACCTTCTCTTCATACAGTAAAGGGCTAGAAAACCTTGTCATCGTCGGATAAGGTCAGGTTTGAAACTTGATTCTTGTTTAATTGCTGATGCTCAGCTAAAATCTCTTATGTTAAAGTAAGCTATGATAATCCGACCCTTATTCTTCAAACCAGAGAAGTATTGGTAGAATTCTTTTCTGTATCATTCGTAGCCTGTTTAAATCTTGTAAATAAAAACAAGGCCTTTCAGAAAGAGCGAACTTCAGTCTTTATGATGAAAATAATTCTTTTACGAAACACCTTCCTATAGTTGAAAAATGAGAAGTTTAAATTGTGTAAAAGTTTGAAAACATTGAAAACAAACTGGAAAATTTAGTTCAGTATTTGATTCACCTCGTTCAATTATTATGAGATTACAGCATATCGTGCAGGAGAAAAATTCTATAACAACAGGAATATTTAAATGAACTAGCAAACGTATGTATGTAAAGAGTTTTATTTAGCAAAAAAGACTAGAGAAAAAGAGAGGGAGCGGTGTCGGTTTGACCGCTTAGGTCCTGTCCGATCTACGAATTTTTAGGCTGTGGGCAAGTCATCAACAGAAGTAGATAGAAAACAGTTTCAATACACAAATTACGTACATTTAAATAATTTAAACTTTTTGTACATAAAACGATAGATTGTGTAAAACAGATACAGATACAATTTAAGAACATACCTATATATAATAACGTATATATAAAAGATACTGACGTCTCACTCCTATTTTTTCGATTTACTATACATTACAAAACTACACAACTCATCAAAGAAAGTGTTCGCATCAGACGAGAAAGACTTCACTAATTTTAATTTTTACGTTACTAAACTTTACTTCACTAAATTTTCAGATGAAAGTGTGCTCTTCAAAATTCATCACGGATTCAAGCCAATTCGATCGATCGTTTTTCTGTTACAATTATTTTGCCATGAGGTCTAAAAGAAAATTTCACATAACACGCTTCAGCGAATGTTCGAATGAATTTGTTTCGAATATGTTACTAATGATAAATTTCATTTTATCAGATTTTCACGTACTGTAACATAATATTTGGTATTCTTATAGAATTCCTCTCATGCACGATGCGATGTAAATCGCACAATTATCGAAGGGTGTTCTAATATTTTTTAACAAATTTGTCAACTTTAATAATTTCCAGCAGGAGCTCGAGGAAAATGCAGGAAAATGCTAAAATAAGCTTAAGAGAGGCATTAAACCAACAGTTTGCTGCAAAATTCAACATTGGCATAGGTTTTAATCATATATATTAACGACATCGAAAACGTTTTCGGGAACATTTGTTTCCTTAAGAAAGGAAAATTCTAACTTCGGAAATAATGGAATTGGAAAAACATTTTTTATGATTATAACAGACATCTGGCACTACTATCAGGGATCCCAGATCGCCAGAATTTTAGCAGAAAAATTCTGATTTTGGGACTTTTTTATGCCTCGTGTTTGATATTTTGATTTTAGAATCTCTGTTGGATATGAACGAAAACTTGATTTATAATTTTTTTTTCTAGAAAAAAATGGGTATGAGAAGAAACAGTGTTCTGATTTCTTTTCTGATTTTCAATTTGTTTTTCTGACTTTTGTCTGATTTTCAACTGTTTTTTTCCGATTGCCGACTTTTAGATTTCGGATCTTCGACTAATACATAAAAAAAGTTCAGTCTTTTATATCGTGTTTTGACTGAGCTATGAATGTTTTACTGTTGAACCTAATGCATTGTACAGACAAGATAAAAAAATTCATAACTTTCGAAAGAGGCAATAAAAACACAAATTCTTTAAGGGCTTTTACTAGGACACTATATAATATCTGTCGGCAAAGAGTTATTGAAATCGAATGTGGATGCCTGAAGAAGTTCTCTCGTGAGTAACAATAAGAATTACCGCTGTTTGTATAACAACGAATGTTCGAACGAATTTGTTTCGAATATGTTACTAATGATAAATTTTATTCTGTTGGATTTTCACGTACTGTAACATAATATTTAATTTCGTATTCTGACAGAATTCTTCTCATACACGATACGGTGTAAATCTCAAAATTATTTAAAGAGGTGAATCAAATGCTGAATTATATTTTCCTACTAGATGTGACCTCGATACACCTTTTTCGAATACAGTAATGCCCAATGATTTTGCTAATTGTGATACAATTTCACTTGTATTTTCTCCCTCAACTTGTATTTTCTTCCTCCAACTACTCGGGTTGAAAAAGTCAGATTGTCAGACAATGTACCTCAGTACGTAAAAAAATGTATGAGTATGTATGAGTATTCGTCCGGTTTTTCTAGCAGAGCACTTTTTAAGTACTCACACTTGAGTACATTCACTAGGGGAGTGTTCAGCATATTCAAACTTAGTTTTTAATAACGGATTTTTATCATCAATCCTAAATTTTTCGTGGTACGGGGTCAGTGATGGTATTCATCGTCATAGCGCGATAAGGAGCAAATAAATAACTATGACGAAGAAAATCTTTCACGGTTTCAGGCGCACCACATTGATAGATTACTACTAACTAGGCGTTTTCGAAAGAGGTGAGAATTTAGGTCTACAAAGCCACATCTTAACTGGTAATACATCTGATCATATTTTCAGTTCACACCGTTGATTCTAAATACTTTCATATTATTTTCCGTCGAAACTAGTTTATTTTAAACTCTTCTATTTTCGTACATAATCTCAGATCATTATCTAACTTATTCCACTCAAATATAAAACGAGGAAAAAAGACATTTTGAATCTCTTTGAACTTGTGAGTGTATTTAGTTTATTGAATGTTTGAGGACGCAAAGACTGATCTATAAATACTCACATACTTTCGACTCTCGATTTAGGTAAAACAGATCCCATAGCCTATTGAATGGCATCAAAGTCGCCGAAGTATGCAGCTACTCAACAACTGCAACAGAAAACTCAAAGCGGTACGATTCACACGACCAACACTGATCGACACCGAAACTTTGAAAACAATACCGTGGTCTGGCTGGATGCGTCAATCAATTCTTCCAAGGATAATGTTCGATCAAAAGCTGAACTGCGTAGCACAATCAATTATCTTAAAACATTTGATGATGCTGATGAATGCATCGATTACATATTGTCAGTTCGAACAGAAAGTGTCTTTCTAATTGTTTCTGGTTCATTTGGACAAACACTACTTCCACTCGTTCACGATCTTAAACAAATCGAATTCATTTACATATTTTGTTCGAACAAACAATGGCACCTTGAATGGGCCAGCCACTTTTCCAAGGTTCATGGTGTCCACACGGACATGAAACACATTTGTGAAGCCTTGAGGAAAGATGTTCGTACTTGTTCGAATGATACGATGATACCGATGAGTGTCATGCCGTCGTCACTATCGAACACAAATAACAACAGACAAGAAGCATCATTCATGTATTCTCAACTGCTCATTGAAATTCTCTTTGAAGTAGACATCACTGATACATCTAAACAAGATATGATCGATGAATGTCGAATGCAGTATGAACACAATGAAGCAGAACTGAGGCACATTGACGAGTTCGACAAGAACTATCAAAAGCATCAAGCAATTTGGTGGTACACAAGAGAATGTTTCTTGTATCGAATGCTGAACAAAGCATTGCGAGTACAGGACACTGATATTTTGTTTAAATTTCGCTTTTTCATCAAGGATCTTCATGATCAACTTACCACACTGCATTCAAAGTCAAATCATAGAGAATCAACACTAACGCTTTATCGTGGACAGGGCATAACAACTGAAGAGTTTGAGAAGATGAAACAAGGCGCGTTCGTATCGATGAATAATTTCTTATCAACAAGTACAAACAGAGCAGTTGCCGTTCAGTTTGCTCAACAATCGATGAATCGCCATGATGTCATATCGGTTTTGTTCGAAATGGATATTAAGGTTGATAAATGTATTAGTCCATTCGCAGCCATTGAAGAATTAAGCGCCGTGAAAACCGAAAATGAGATCCTTTTCTCGATCGGTACCGTATTTCGAATCGAATCCGTGGAAAAGCAAGATTTCACAAACATTTGGGACCTCAAACTTGCTCTGACTGGTGAAGAAGACAAAGAGTTAAAGACACTGACTGATCAGTTAAGACAAGAAGTTAGGAGTGAACGCAAGTTGGACAGTTTAGGGCTTCTGCTGCAGAAAATGGGTAAATATGTCGAAGCAGAGCAATACTATCTAGTGCTGTTAAATGAGACTTCTCCAGAAGATCCCTATATCGCAACAATTCACAATAATATTGCAGTGGTTTACAAGAACATGGGTGACTATTCAAAGGCTTTGACTTATTATGAACAGACACTGGAACTTGAGTTGAAAACACTGGGCCCGAATCATCCATCTATGGCTACGACATACAATAATATTGGAGGGATTTACAACGACATGGGTGACTATTCAAAGGCTTTGACTTATTATGAACAGACACTGGAACTTCAGTTGAAAACACTGGGCCCAAATCATCCATCTGTGGCTACGACATACAATAATATAGGAAAGGTTTACAACGACATGGGTGACTATGCGAAGGCTTTGACTTATTATGAACAGACACTGGAACTTCAGTTGAAAACACTGGGCCCAAATCATCCCGATGTGGCTAGGACATACAATAATATTGGAGTGGTTTACAGTGACATGGGTGACTATTCAAAGGCTTTGACTTATTATGAACAGACACTGGAACTTCAGTTGAAAACACTGGGCTCAAATCATCCATCTGTGGCTACGACATACAATAATAAAGGAAAGGTTTACAATAACATGGGTGACTATTCAAAGGCTTTGACTTATTATGAACAGACACTGGAACTTCAGTTGAAAACACTGGGCCCGAATCATCCCGATGTGGCTAGGACATACAATAGTATGGGAATGGTTTACAATGACATGGGTGACTATTCAAAGGCTTTGACTTGTTTCAAAAGGGCTTTGGAAGATGCTCAGAAATCTTTGCCGTCTTTTCATCCTGATATCGACAAGTATATAAGAACTGTATGCGAGATGAATGACAAACTTATTACACACTTTTAGGATAATGTATAACTTCTGTTTGTTTCCTCGTGATGACACCGCTTGTGTACCTAAGGGATAAAAGAGGACTATACTTACTTAATCTTCACCCAATAGACCAAACGAAACCTACTTATATGCTCGATCATACAAAATCATGCTGGAAACTGTCTTTTCTTTGAAAAACGTACTCCATTTCAATAGCACTATGTTCGTTGAGAGTATTGAGAATACTACTTACTTAACCAACTGTGAAAATAATTATCTCTGCAACCATTATATGTGTAGAGATGAAACTTTCGGAAAATGTGTAAGCAATAGCCACTATCCAGGACATTAAAAACTATCAAGTTAACTGACAGTTAACTCTCAGTTAATTACCAGTTAACGGTCACTTTACTAGCCGCTTTTAGACGGTTCAGACAGCTTTTAGGTGGTTTTCTGATGGTTCGGATGGTATGGTTTTACCATCCGTAAATAGGCGGTTTTTCAACTGCCTAATTCCTTTGTTTTATTCTGTTTAGCTAAAATATCATCAATAGACGATCTGGACACTTTCAACTATCGAACATTACGGCACATGCTGAAGCAATAACTTTTCACAGTATCACTGAGCAAGAAAAACAACATTATTTTGAGGCTATGTGCTTAGATGACATAACACCAGAGTAAACCATCCTTTAGGCAAATACATAAAAGATAAGAAGCAGTAAATATTATAAAGAGACTTGCTGCAATTTCAGAGGAGTAATTATTGGTCCTTTTTTCTTCTTATTTTGAGTATTTTAAACCGTTTCAACAATCAATGATAAACTTTTAAAATCATTTCTCTTTTCAATGACATTCTTCTGTGTGTTTTAAGACACATCGAAGTTCTTTAAAACATAGAATTCTATGTTCTAAAGAACTGCTAATCACTTAGTATACCTTTTATTAGATGCGTGTATGTGGAAACAGCAATTCACCAGTTAGGAGATTTGTACACAGATTTATTCCTCAATTCTACCTACAAATAAAAAGAAATGGCAGTTGTTTAAAAATAGAACGCGAAATGGTCCACATTCAAAACCCAGAGAACTATCTTCCGTTCTCAGAATATCTCTACGTTACGTGGTTCTCTAGATCAAACGACTCACTTAAACAAGAAAAAAAAAATCCCTGAACAAATCCAAAATGTCTATCGACATAATAAAAAGTAGTGTACGAGACAGAGAAATAGAAAAGAAAGCATATAAAAAACAAAAAAGAAGAGTATAGAATTCATGTTAAAAAAATCTGCTTTCTTCCAGTTCTTCTAAAATACTCTTTCTCTTGACTTTAGTGTAGGGTGGTGTTACGAAATGGTTGTCTGTGTGTTTGTGCGCAAAATACGGAAAAATGGCTAACTGGCATGGATATTCTGCGGATAGGCCGATCATAAGGGAGAAAAATGGAAAATCTTTTTGAACTACTAGAGTAAAAATATTCATAACACAAAAGGCATCTACGGATAATGAAACTTACAGAATATAGATAATATAGCTCTGTATGGAATGGAAATTTTTTGGATTCATCGATCCGGACTGGACAGGACACAAACTTTCAAGAACTTATTCGCGTTTGGAAAAAACCTCGATTAGAAAGTTTGCTTCTCTTTTTCTTTTCCGGACATCCTGCAAAGATGATCCCGTAAACATCATGTTCTTTTTAAATCGGTGGTACTAAACCAAAACGATGTAGTAAAATACGAACGAAAAAGAAATAACTCTAATTAATATTTTCAAACATATAATATGTGTGAAAATACCAAATTGGGGTTTTATTCTGAGCAAAAGCTCTTTCAGGTGCTATAAAATACAACGTCGATGCCAGGAAGAACGTTAAAAACCCGCAATGATGGGCATCAAGGCCCGGTAACAAAAAAATTGTCCAGTTCTAGAGATAGCTCAGTGCGCTGAGCTAAACTTGACTGTTAGCATTTCTGTCAAATATTACAAAGAGAAAAAACGGAAAAGAAACGAATAAATCCTTGAAAATATACTATATACATCAAGCAAAAATCGCGGTTTTATAGGTTTTTAATGAGAGGCTTTCCAAATACAGTATTTTTGAACCTAACCTACATTAATAAAATCAACTTTTCGAGTTCTTTCTAACTATTCTATAGAAATGTTTTAAGTGCAACAAAAGGCAGATTCTCAGAAATGCACCTTCGTAACGCAAAAACAAAAATATAGCCAGCCCATGGCCACTCACTACTAGAGAAAAGAAATGGTCTATAAACTGTCAGTTTACAACCTGTTAATTGTCTAAAAATCATCTAAAAACTGTCTGATTTACTGGCCATTTTTAGATCTTAAGAAACTGCTGTGTAAAAACGGCCAGTAAACAGTGAGAGCAAAAAACAGCCAGTTAACTGTTTGTAAATCGCCCGTTAAGCACACAGTTAACTAGCTGTTTTTGACTTTTCCGTTTACTGGCGGTTGTTAGACGGTATTTTTGCAGATCTAAAAGGGGCCAATAAACCAGACAGTTTTTAGGTGCTTTTTAGACAGTTAACAGGTTGACAACTGTCAGTTTTTAGGCAGATTGTAAACTGATAGTTAATGAGCAGTTTATTGCCCGTCTTTTTTCTCCTGGGAATTCATTTCCCAAACTTTCAGCTCGATCCGTCTGACGCATAAAAAGTCAAGCTCTCTCATGATAGTACATGGATTCCCTTTTATTATGGTAAATTTCAAGGTTTTGACTTTATCGAGATTATTCTCCAGAATAGAAAACTTTTGTTGCGTTTCAATCAGTTCTAGTACTGATCATAATTCCGAGTCAAATCGAAAATGTGGACCTTTTTTTCCACACTGCGCCACATTTTGAAAACTTTCCAGGGGTGTTTTCTTGATTCGAATTTTACACTCTTTGAAACGAGACGTATACCATCTTTATTAGATGCATGATAAAAGAGTTATCGTGATTTTCCTTAAAGTTCTTCAACAGGCAACATCTTTCTTTCGATCAGGAAACTTGATCTATTATGCTAAGATTTGTACAACAGAAACATAAGACATAATATTGGAACTAGTTTTTAGTTGTCAAAAGTGTTCTCATCTCTCACTGATTGTCGTTACAAGGCCGAGCATCCCACTGAGAGAAGAGGATAAGTCAGTTCGAAGTCTTCTTAAAAATAGCAATCGATGAATTCTTTTATTTTTTTCTAAATTGCATTGGGAATGACTTACAGTCATCTAACAGAGTGAGCCTGAACGATGAACGTTACCTCCCATGTCTTCAATGATAAAATACCGCCCGGTTACCACTAAGTATATTCTGTGCTTTACCGGTAGCAGAACTAAAAGAAATTCGCACGGTATAATCGAACCGCTCGTTATACCAGGTGGTATACTGAGCGGTACACTTTTTTCGTTGTAAATCTATAGGACAGGTGTTCAAAGCATATTTTCAACTTTCTTTTTTTATTATTATAAAGCGCTTCCAAATGCAGAATGGCTTCTTGAGTTTTGACTCAAATCGAAATTTAAATAAGTTTCTCCTTATGATTATAATTTCTCACTACTTATCTCCAGCACCATCTTTGTGTACACTGAGTTTCTCCTGCATTCGAAGAGAGAATGTTAGAAAATGATTCTAAGGAAAATTTTGCAAAACATTTTACTCATTTAAAAAGTGCATGAGACCTCAGTGAGGTAGTAAATACTCTAAAAGGATGCGTGCGTACGACTTTTGAAAACCCGGTTTTCTGAAAAACCAGTTTTTCAAGAGCTCTAAAAATAAACAAAACCTTTTTTGATGAGGCATGATTGTCGCCCGCACATTTCTGACTAGAATGGCATCTCCTCGCTACACGACCTTTCTTTGCAAAGTTAGAGAATTTACAAGAAAAGCCCTAAATTACTTTCTTCTTATTTCTGTAGCTTTGTGCTAATAATGAACGTTACGGCTTTTTTTCTATAACTTGATCTATAACTTTGCAAAGAAAGATCGTGTAGAACTAGGAGAGGTCTCATTTTAATCAGAAATGTGCGGGTGACAACCATGTCTCATCAAAAGAAGGTCTCGGTTATTTTTTAGAGATCTTGTAAAAGTGGTTTTCCCGAAAACATGGTCTTCGAGAGTAGTGGACCCAAATCCTTTTAGAGTATTTACTACCGCACTGAGATCTATTGATCCATGTACAAATCATTAGAATCGGAAGGTTACATCTCGAAATGTTCTCTCGTAAGTGATATTGTTACACAGCAAACAACAAAATGTATCATCAATAGTTGTAAAAAATAACATAATTTTGTTGAAATAATTCTACAAAACTATACATTCATAATCGATATGGAAGCTGAAAAAATGATGAATGAACAAGATTAAGGAATTTCACATCATTTAATTTGTTCTTCTTCAACTTGTAAAATTAATTGTTGAGAATTTTCTGGGTGATGTACTTTTTGCAAAGGGGAAAAAGCGGACTCCTGGACTCCCATGGACTCCTGAAGTCTAGGAGTCCAGGAGTCCGCTTTTTCCCCCTTGACTTTTTGAAGTATTCAAATCAGAGATTTCTTTTTGTTTGCTTTTTTTCTTCTTCAGATCGTCAAGCTCATGACACAATAATTCTCAAAACTGAACGTATAAATTTAAATCGATATAAAAATGATTTAACAACATTTGTAAACAGTTTTCCAATAGTTTCAATAATTACGAATAATTAAAATGATATTCGACTAGAAATTATTCATATTGAGATAATATTTAATTATATGGCATAACATAAAGATTTTAATTAAAATTCACTGATCAAGTTCTACACTAAAAACATTAGATGCATGTCTGTCACCTATGAATATCATTTATTATCTCGATCATTTAGTTTGTCATCAATTGTTGATCAATGTTCTCGGACTACGATTACATATGTTTTTTGTCTCATTTATAGTTGTTGCCTATAGTTGTAGTCTATATGTTTCAGATATTTACATTTATCGAAGAATACATAATTTAGGTTTATTAAGAATAAAACGAAATCGAAACAATGCTTA